ACCATAGCGGGCGTCCGAAGCTCAAAGTAGTTTGAGCCCGAATGACGTTTCCTCTCGAGTTCGACAGCTGCGCGGACTTCGGTCAGGTAGGCAGCAACAGCACGGGCATCTACCAGTTCCGCATCGAGATCTTCCGTCTCCAGTAGGCGGGGAATTCCGTATTCACGTGAGGCCAGATGAAAGGCTAGACCGAGGTTCTGTGAGCTGGGTTTCTCCAGGCGCTCGTCATAAGAAAAGGATTCCGGCCTAAAAGAGTCAATTTGACAAGTTTGATTGGACAAGATGGATTGAAACCACTAGTAGGAGGTTACAGCGCAGTGGACGGGAAGAGATACCTAAAGGGGTAGAAACAGTTGGAAGCACTTTCAGCTGCTGCATTCTGCTCAACCATAAGAAATACACCCCGTTTCGACGAATTTGAACTACTAACTGCCACAATTCGATAGTATGTTCTGTTACCTGAGACGCCGGCAGGTCACAGTCAACGGTTCCGCTACATTCGACAAATGTGTCCTTCTGGGTTGTTGAGGCGGGAGGCGTAGACCAATTTAGATCCTCCTGACAGTTAAGAAATTACTAGTTTTCTGTCAAACCCTTGGCGAAGCCGTTTAGAGCCAACGGCATGTAATAATTCCCCCAAACGAATTTCTCAAGGCGCTAGATATATTTTATCCGACGATTCGTTCGCCACAGACGACTTGGTTCCTTCTCCACCGTCCTTCGAAGTGCATACATCCGTGACTTGCATGTAGGGTTGATTCAGTTGAAGCATACAAGCTTGGCGTACACCCCACCGCACATTGATGGCAAGGCAAGTTTAAAACATTCGGCGGTTGGTGTGAAGGCGATGGTTGACAAAGAAATCACGCCGTCTGTGAGTTCCCCACAACTGCACATGTACAGGACCCAGGATTTAGGATACTGTATGATGACTGGACAGCCACGAGGAACGACGTCCACCGCCCAGCACCTGTGACTCGCTCGAGAAGTGGTTTAAAAGGAGGTACGAATGTGTGGCATCAGCCATACTTTCTTTTGACCCTACCAGACTGGCACCATTGCAAGAAAATGTCAAAACAACAGAGCGCGGCTACGGGTACAATGTCCGACAAAAATCAACAGCCCGCCTATGCTTGTCACGTACGTGAGTGAGTGTGTCAAGATGGTCCAATTGGAAGGAGGCATTCACACGTAACGATCAGTCTTCAGTGAGGCGGAGTTATCCTGTTATTTAGTGACGTTCTGAGGCGTGATTCATACCGTGTCATGGTTTACGCTGGTTTCGAGCTGTAAGGAACCCCCTCGCTCTTTTTCAATGACTTTTCGGTGGTCATTTTTCTGAGGTATTTCGTCAGCAGGTGATAATCCTATTTAGGAGTCAACGGTTCGCTAAGAGGGGGAAAGCTTCACTGCTCTCTCGTTAGGTGATAATCCTAGTTAGGAGTCAACGATTCGCTAAGAGGGGGAAAGCTTCACTGCTCTCTCGTTCGCCTTTATTTCCCCTACACGGGTCACCCATCCAAGCGCTTGAGCTGACTGCTAAAAAGAGACAGAGCAAAGCCTACAGTGTGGGTGATACCGCCTTTAAATGCCCACCATCCGCATTTCCAGCATATTTCAGAACACCCGTAAAACTAATGCAGATATCTTAAATGGGGAGTCCCGTGTTTTTTCATAGGGCAAATATACAAACAAATGTTCCTCGGGGCATTATTTATTAAAATGCGCATATCCAAGTGATGCATTTCCTACTAAACCCCACAGCTTTTAGGTATTGAACCGTGCTTGTCTAACCGTATTTTCGAATGTTTCCTTTTCGGGGATAACTAACCCAGCGTCAATGGAACCAGAATGGTTTTGATGAAAATACTGTTACAAAGCATCATTTCCGAGGTCAGTAACCATATAAAAAGGTCGAGTCAGCGAAAGTAAGTAATCAGAACGGAAACGATTAGGGGGTGTTGGTCAAAGAAGGAACCAAAGTAAGCATAAAAGTAAAGACCAACCGTTGTCTATGGAGGATGGCGAGAAATGCGAGACCGTCACGCCAGGAGCTGGTGAAGTTGGTGATATTGATGCATTGAAAACTAGAGAGGAAAAAGACACAGTTTAATGGAATTTAAAACAAGGATTAAAAACAGTTTGAAATAAAACATCTGAGCAAGCTGGCGGAGATCCATAAATTCTGTTAGAAATCAATGCTTCCGAATGCAAATGAGGAAGATGGTTAATAAAATTAGCATGCTTTATATCTTCCTTTTGTTTAATTTATAAAGTCAGGGACATAACTTTTGCCACATTAAACACTCAAACAACAACAGACGCACTCCGGCCCATTTTAACAGCTTGAAGTTATAAACTACAGAGAACGGAAGTGCCGTATCCGTATGACCATGGTACAAAAGTATATTGATGTTGTATGGTTGAACAGCAATATTCTGCAATCGTTAGGAGGTCCCTTTTGAAGACATACGTGTTCTTGCTCGTAAAATGCAAACTGACTTTCCCAAAAGTATTTGCGTTCCGAAAAAATCTACTTAAAAAGGTTGCAATAGTAAGTGTCCTGCAAAATAATCCCAGGAAATATCCGCCACGTCAGGTTGATCGCTTTTGAACGAACATCCTGACCATCTGCCTAAACAAAACTCTATAAGATGATTGTTTGAGTAGTATTGATGCTCCTGCTTGCATACAGACCCAACGCTACTACGTGCAGCAGGATAATGAAAAAAGACCGGTTTACTCCCTATTAACAATTTGGGGTAATGTAACGCATTTCATGCCTAAGCTGTCCTTGTTACTACACAGGCCAAACTGAACGCATGCTCGGATCCAGCAAACATGAACACAAGTTGGCCGCACGAGTAGGCGACGAATTATCACAAGCTGCAACTTGCATCTGTGAAACAGACCATGAGTTCAACTTCGCAGCCTTCAAGGTACTCGCCCACGCCGGAAACAAGGCGAGCCGGGAATTGATTGAAGACTGAACAAGGGACGAGAATTCAATCAACCGATATATCGAATCGGTGCCGGCGTATAGAGCCTTGCGCAATCACATTCAGTCACGGTCAGACGTCAGCCACCGTTAATTGGACCCACCTCATGTATACTTGCCCCATTTTCGTTACTGACATTTTGATGAACGTTGACATCACTGACGGTTAATCAACGTATATCTCTATAACTTCTCCCACCCATCCCGCCTTTCTCATTGCAGTTTCTTCCCCCACACGACCTGACGACCCTTGACATTTGATTGGGGTACACACACTATAACTAGCCCCTCGTTTGCTGCTGTTTCTTATCTCTGACGATGGACTCCTGTAGGGCTTGGGAGGCACGGGATAATAAACAAATTGATCCGGTGCTCGATAATCCTTCTTCACTATACATGCAAATACCTGGAAAACGAAACTTTTCATTCATTCGTGTTTCTCTTTTGTTTGCGATGTCCAGAAAATCGAAGTATTTTTTATATAAAACACACACTATATTATTTTAATTATTTAGTAGTAGCTATTTCTTATTCATACATGAACAAAAAGGTATGATGCAGTTTTTTAACATTTGCAATCGCTGAATACTTTTTTTACATCAGTTCTGCTACTGTACCTGCATTCAGGGTGTCCAAACTATATGTTGTAAACTGTCCGGCTAAGGAAAATTACGCATTTGTCTACGTACGCGTAGTAAGTCACAGAGCGCTCATAACATTTTACAATTTCTATGGTTCATGCTGCATATCTGAGAGGCAGCATTATGAATGGAAGCTTTACAGTCTCGAAAAACCTCATAATTATAAATATTTTACAAATGCAAGATGCACAATGCATCAAGCAGAACATCTAAGACAGAAACTACATGTTTTTTCTACAATATTTATTGGAATTTATAAAGAAATGCAAAAAAAACAATGCGAAAAATACACCGTATGTGTGAAATCGTTTTTCAAATTGTTTATTTTGCAGGCAACCAGAAGGACTCGCGTCTGCAATAGGACCTCCTGATGTGAAAAATTTCTTAGGACTAAGCTGCATGATAGCTCATAGTACTACTAACCAAAAGTTCATTTTTTCTGTCAAATCGAACACACATTTAAGAATTTTGGTTGATATTTCATGAGACAGTATGTCTGCTGAGTTATGCAAATATGTTTCTTTGACTTGTCGTTATCGGTAATTTGGAAATCCTCGCTACGCGCAAAATTGCGAACTACATCAAAATTTGCAGAGATTATTAAGCTTTTTATATGTTGCAGTTGGTCCTCCCTGCAAATACACTTACCTATAGAGAGACTTGACGTTAACCGAAGTGATCACAGGAAGTATTTCGCATGCACCACTTCTGTAAATGCTTATTTCTCGGCACAATTATCCCGGGTGGTATGAAAAACGCTCAGTTCGAGGCCAGTCTGCGACCTGGGTGGTAAGTGACTGCCAGAAATGAACGTTTTTACGCCATTTTCCAGCTTAAATTGCCTATTTCGAAAATTCAGCCCGCTTAGGCTCTTCTACACGGACGGACGGACTGAGGGACAAATAGGCAAAATGTTCAGTTTCATACGGAAATAATAAGTTGCCGATACAACCGGAATGAAAAAGCATAGTACGCATCTGTCTCAGCTTGAATGAGGTTTGTTTTTTTCTATGCAGGTGCATTAGAGGGCTCCCCAATTGCGGTTTAGAACACGACGGCATCCCCGGTTTTCGGTTTCACAATTCAGCCAGGTCGACAGCTTCTAGTTCTACATCGGTCTGCAGTTTTGTGAAGTTCGAATGCAGTGGAAGTGTTAATGCCTTTGTATTAAATCTTAGATTGCCAACTGAACACGGTCAAAACCACAGCCGCTAACAAACTGGGCCAGTCTTGGTTATGCAAATCAACAATGTGTGAATGTCAGTCTGTCGTGTTTTTTTTGTGACACACCTTGTTTACTGCTTGGCCAGAGAGCCGTCAGGAAAAGCCCCTGACCGAATCTTCGAATTAAGGCAGACCGCTTTTATTCCGTAAGGCAGTATAAATGGATCGTTGAACGTTTCTTAAATGCCTAAATAGCCAAGCTACCTATGAAACTGCATTTGAATGAAGATGTAGTTTTCGAAAGCAGTATTTAAAAGACATAAAGTTCCTGATTTTTTTCTAAAACCACTATGTAGTTGGCCATTAAATAAGAACTGGACATTCTTTGTGCATAACTTTAGTAAGTCGCGTAAATTAGGCATCACAACATTGCCGGCAAATATATGATATCCCTGGACGTTGAGTCATTATTTACCAACGTGCCTCTGGATGAAACGATTGATATCATTTGTGCATGTGCTTCCGAAACTCGCCTGTCCCTAGAAATATTACGGGACTTACTATGTAGTTCTCTCAGGGAGCAGGATT